TATAATGTTCTGCGATGTATGTATGTAGTTCGGGTCTCGCTTAGCTCAGACGGTAAAGGCGCAGCTACAAAGCAAGACCATGCTGGAGGCGGCTGGGTTCGATTCCCGGTCCGATCTAGGACCTCTCTAGGGCTTAGAGTATGATTGTCTTTGCCACACAATAATACCAATGCAAAAATGGTACAGGCTTAGAAAGCACTAAATCATAACTGTGGAAGTGTTCGGAGAATACTACACTGAAAGCCAGCGTATAGCTCCAGTCGGAACGTAATAAGGCCAACAAAGAAGAAGAAGAAGAAAATGGTCTATGTAGTTATCGCTAAAGTTGGCGTACGCTAAACGGAGTGTACCCCATTAGGAATAAATACGTTTGTCATAGAGCTCTAAACGCTAAAAAATATTAAATTTTGTCTCAACCCCTTCCGATTTAAATGAACCATTGCTCACATGTTCGCTGCTACCAATGGTTGCAATTTTCATTTAAGTATTATTTTTTCTGCACAGTAAATTTTGAAAAATGCGTATTGAAAAAGTGGATTATATTTTTATTTTTAAATCATAACATGAAAACTATTGATCTGATCAAAATTACATCTGACAAGATGTTGTAGGTATTTAATTTATCTTCGAGGAAAAAATACACTGAAAGAAAAAACTTAGGAAACGCTGATTATCTCAAAACATCCCCCTTCAATCTTTATATATTTTTTCTATCAAGTAAACTGAAGAAATGTTCTAAAATTTGGTGAAGAGAGTACACTAGAGTGTTTCAGCGTTATATGAAAAAAGTCAAAGTCTGGAATTTCAAACGCTACCCTCTGGTATGGTAGTCAGGGTTGTGAAAATATCAAAAGATCTAATCTCACCAATGTGCATAATCTCATTTGAGTATCGTAGACCAAAAACTCAACACGCAAACAACAGCCGATGATATTACAAGCTGTGATACGGTTGCTATGATATCATGCTAACAAAACTCCCCGGCTACAATTATCACCAAACTATGTTGAGTTTGAGCTTCAAGATTTTTGCTGTACATCCGAACACGAAACGAAACTTCCATCACTGCTGGCAGCAGTAACTTCGTGTCTGCCATCTGTGAAGCGTAAAGAAAGATAGCAAACTATGCTTTCTCTTTCTAAGAAAACGATGTGCAAAGGAATCAATTTTGTGGTAAGTCAACTCGTGGCTGCAATTTTACATGTTTTGAATAGTCTCGCAATATCAAAGGAGCTTGTAAAAACAATATCATGCTTGATATTTTATTCCAATATCATGCGTGATATTGAGAGCCCTTGAGAGCGAAACAAAATCATTTGAGTGAGAATTATGCCATCACTGATGGTAGTTTTGGGGGTCAGAAACACCCTGCCAAAATTTGAAGTGATTTGGTTCACGGGAACCCCTCGCTCAAACGGCTTGAAGTTTGTATGGGGAAAATCGACAAAGTGTGTAGGGGAGCGAGCCACTTTCACATTCGCGGCTCTAGGTGGCGCTGTAGTGGGTCGATTTTCTTCGTGTACAAAATGTAGCACCTTTGGAGTATTGGAAACATCTTGGCTGAAGACCGGATGTGAATCCGAGTTACCTCCGAAAAGTTATTAGCGTTTCAAACGAACACCACCTGCTTTACTTCTGGGGAGGGCCTAACGCGCTTGTGCAGTTATTATTTACGAACAGGTATACGAATAGCAATGTTGGCATATGTATAACTTTTTTGTTTAACCATGAAATTGGTTGAAATTTTCACAGTGAGTAGAAAAATGTTCGAAATTATGGTCTACTAAAAATTGGAACAGATTGGCCGAGTGGTTCCGGTTTTATTCCGGGTTTCCGAGAGGCCATCGGGGGGAGAAAAGGTACCAGTCGTCTACAACAAGGTGGTGCTGGAAATCCACAGCAACAGGCATCTATGGGTAGTGCTGATTAATATTTTAACAAAATCAACCCATAACCTGGTTCTAAATACTGAGCGTCCACCGGAAGGCCTTCCGATGACCCGGATCAACCATAATCTGGATTATTATGTATTTTTGATCAAAGTAGGCCTTGATTATTTTCTGCAACTATATGAAATGTAGTAAATTAATGATTTTAGATATATAAGCGTTTCAATGGCTCAAAGTGGTCACCAGATGATCCGCCGGAAGATCCGAAACATCCGTAAAATTTAGTGCTACATAAATTCGATCAAAGTAGGCCTTGATTTTTCTCTGCAACAATGAGAAATGTAGTAGAATGCTGATTTTTGATATGTTAGCTGTTCAATGGCTCCGAGTTATCACCAGATGGTCGGCTGGTAGATATGGAACATCCGTAAAATTGATTGCTGTGTAAATTTGATCAAGTTTACATTATAGATTTTGTAAAGTTATGAGACATTTCGTGAAATATTCCAAATATTGTATGCAATCGTGCAATTCATGCAAGCTCTTAGTTTGCATGAAAAGAAAAACAAGTTTCAGATTTTTTTTTTCTGTATTGTTACTTATTACTTATACCCGCCCGTTTTTTAAAAGACTGCAAGTTATCCTCCTTAATCGCGATATCCATGCCTTAAGAATGCAATAATATGTTATATTAAATTCGACAAGCCCTATGGCTGGACCACATTCAATTTATGTAATCCTTTAATGGCCGAAAGTAACATAAAAAGTAACTTGCTTAGAATAATATTGCCTTTAAAATCTGGTAATTCTGATTTAATGTTTAATCTGCCGTTGATTTTTTGACGTTGGACTACGTATGTGATTTCTATATGGAGGTACACTTTGTGAAAACCGAAAATGGAACATGTAACAAAATTATGAAAGATTTTGAACGTTAATAGCTCAGCTGCCCCTGGACCAATTTCAATAATTTTATCACCAATCGATCAGAAATATTTCTACGCATCTGTTAAAGTTAAAATGTCACTATTGAAAATTGCACGAATGTGTAACTATTGCTATGATATTTAAAATTATCACCGATTGCCTGTGAAAAGCGATTTCCCTAACACAGATTTCAATTCCATCCGGTCTAACCAAACGTTGTTTATTCAATCACCGCGTGGTGAGTGGTAGTGGTGTTCTCCAATAAACAACGAAAGGCTGCCTGCAAGCAGTGAGCTGCAGTCCACATGAGCATCCCGAGGAGGTGGAAGAAGCCGCACCGCTATTGATCGGAATCAGTAGCTCTTCGTGAGTCGCTGTGGGCCATCTATGCCAAGCACGTCATACTAAAGAGTATAAACAGAGAGAACCCCGCTCAAATTCCTATTCCTACATAAAACGCAATGCTCATGCTGCGGTTAACAAATAACATTTATTGTATAAGACCACGTAGTCCTACGTCACCATTGCGTACAACCCCCGTAGTCCCTTGAAGTTTTTTCATTGATTTAAACTTTTCGTTGTCTTAGCTGTTAGCCATTTCGTCCCTTATATTTTGCCTTTTCGACCTTTTGCCGGATTTTGGCAGATCTGTTGGAATCAGCGAAACATCTGTACATATGCGTAAACATATGAAACATAATGTAAGTCTATTGAGTGAATTTGTGATAAGCTACAAACTACCGACAAAAATCGAAGAATCTAGAGGGTTTGCTACTAATCGACCATCAGTGGAGATAACTACTTAATTGCCAACGGCGTAAAATTAATAACGTTCAACTTGTCTCACGTTTACGGTTATGCCTGTGATTTAACATTCACGCGTTTTATTTCTGATTATAAATACCATAGTTTGAAACTGATCAGAATATCCCTACAGTTTTTACATAAATTTAGGGTAAACGGCGTTATGCCAGACGACTTTATGCCAAACGTGGTACAATGGATATATCTCGCGTAATACGTTCGCGCTTCTCTATTCCGGACACGCCACTGACAATGCCTATACCAACAGCAGCGTTTGACAGTAGGCAGCATGTCCCGGGCTCAAATCGTTTATTTTGCTGTGCTGGGCCCGCTTTCACGGTATAACATGTTGCCTACGCGCCTGCCACTGGGCTGACTCCGGACAAACATGCACATTTGAATCGGCCGTTATGGATTCTCGATCAAGAGTTAAGTGTAAGTTTCATGTCGGTTTGTCAGTGGTAAAAGCGTCACCCTTTTTATTGCGAAGTGATTTTGATCACAACTGAAATCTCGAGTACTTTCTCAAAAGGACCAATGTAATATTTCCGCCATATTGAGAAAAAGTTGAAGTTCGACAGATTATTTTTTAAACTATTTGAAAGAATACGTTTAACAAAACTACTGTGTCGTAGGCAAAACAAAGTACCTACCATCGGAAAAATGACTGGTACCCATACTTATAACGTTAGAATGGTATTCCATGCCATGCCTTTAGACAATAAGCACCAATCATGCTAGGCAGACAAAATGACCATGAGATGAACTAGCCAACTGACTAAACTTCTCAATAATAAAGCCTTAAAAAAAGACAAAGTTACATCATCAAGCACACATCATTCTAAACTGTGCATTAGACAATTTTTTACCTATGATTATCTTCAATAAATTAAATTCAATTTAAATAGGTGTCTTTGTAGCACATACAATGATAGAAGAGCAACAGTTTTATCAATTAACTCGATTTGTTTACAATTGTTACTTAGGACCTTTTGAAAAACTATTCGAGAAATTATATTTTTCCAGACCAAATTATAAGTGGTTCACATTTCTTATTGCTATAATCAAGAATAAATCCCGAATTTAGTCACCTATGATGCGACCTATCTTAATAAATCAAACGATGATGACAAAAAATAACTTTACTACTCCCTGGGGGTTCCAAAACATGCCCGGGTGTCCAATGTGATCTACCGTACATAACCCACAATTGAATTTTTTAAAACAATCCCTAAATTAACTTGACTAATTGATCAGACTAATATTCTCTGGAAAAAATAGATTCTATTTCAGCCCTTCGAAATAAGCCATACAATGACAATGTCATACACTTTTATCCAACGGAACTGGAAGCACTGGATTGTGAACTACTCTTCTTACCTTTCGCAAGCAGCGGAGGAAGTCTTCCTTTTAGAGCTGAGTGCTCGCTCTATCTCTCCCCTGAACCGGTACCAGCAATGATGACGATAAAAAGCACCTCCAGCAGCTGGAAGCAATTTTTCGCTGATTTCAACCGTCTTTACACAATAATCACTAAAGCAGCTATATCCGAATCAGTTCCTCGATGGGATGTTTTTGCACGATTGATATTAGCAAAAATGCACCTTAAATTTCACTTTATCGCAGTAGTTTTTTTTTCCCGAGTTCACTTCGTCACTCTCTCTGATCAGTGGAATATTGAATTATTCAAATTATTTGAACCTGAAAACCACAATAAATCCTCCAGAATAAAGTAACACTCAATCAGTTGCTAATGTTGATAGCTCAATCAAGTTAACTTTGATTTCTTCATAAGCAGTCTAAGAGAAATGAAAATCTCACTGTTCACTAATTAATTTAACAAATCCGTTCAACACCCTCTTTGAACACCATGAAAGAAAAAAAAACATGAGTAGTAACACAACTTCTATAATTGCTACACTTTGGCCTGCTCGGAAAACACCGAAAAACTGCAACGGAACAGGTGAAACGCACGGCGGAAGTGTAAATAGCGACTACTTCCTGTCAGTTTGGTTCTGTTGTTTCCATTTTCATCGGAGAAGGCCTACCTACACCCGGTCCGGTATACGGTAAAGAACAAGAAAACTTGCCACGGGAGCAGCTCAGCACACAGAGCAAAGCACTTCTGGAATAAAAAACTAACAAAAAAAAACACTAACGGTGCACAGCAGAGAAACAAAACTCAGAGCACAACCGACCGAACAGAGCGACGAAAGCGAACTGAAAGAGCGTGGTTGGTTCGGTGTTGTAGGCAACCACAGCAAGCGGGCGAGATCCGCTTAGGAACGGAACGATTGGGTGGAAAACATTGTTGTTGGTGTTTTTGTTCTTCTGTGGGCGATGTTGGGAAGAGAGCATAAAAATGAGAGCATGAACATGCGGCAAAAAGTCATCGCGGCTGGAGAAAGCATAAAAGCTTCGAGTAGAGTTTGTGTATAAGAGTCATGCAACGGTTAGGGATGCCAGATGATTTTCTTAAAAATCTGTATGGATATCAAAAATAAGTCTGTATTTGTTTGTACACAAAAAAAACTAATTAATTGCAGATTTTGTGTTTCACACATAAATTCCTGCTATAATATTTCTCGTCTCCTGAAAAACTGAACAAAAAGCGTTTGTAGGATAAAGCAAACAAAAAAAATGGATTGCAAAAAGATGAAAAAAACGATCTGCAGACAGGGCATCTAAACTCCTGCTCTTTTTCGGGCGTGATTAAAGGTGGGCTGTGGATGTTAAGGTCCTGGTCCGAGATGCGGGGACCCGTCGGGATGAGTGTCCGGAGGTTCCAGTTCAGTAAAACCATGCAGTGAAATTTTGTGATATTAGCGTCGTTTTGTCGTTTCTAACGCTGGTCCTCATACCGGCCTCTTTCTTCGTTCGGCGTTGAAGGAGGGGGGGAGGGGGGGGGGGCTGGAGGATCCGAAATAGATTCAAAATCCATTTCGAATTTTCGTTTCTCTTCAGACGTCAGTTGTGGAAGAGGATGATGCAGGGATCGGCATCAGAAACGACAGAGTGACGTCGATACTGTGGGGTTCCTCCGGTTTTATCGAGCTGAAACACTTACCTATAAGTGGGTTTCCGGATCCATGACTTCGGTTTGTTGCGGGCCATTTTCAGTTGATTGATAAAGCTGGGGCAATATGTTTCCGAATGTAAATAAGGACAAGGAGGAAAAAAGGCAGGACACGCTAAAAATCGTTTACCCAAATTCTATATTGTTGAAATAAACATGCTTTTGACTTAAATTCAAACATATATACAAGGGGTAGGTCACTCTGCACACCAATCTTGGGTCATCTTTTTTGTCAGTGTGCCGCAAGTATGTCGATTGTGCCGGTCATAGAGCAAGCTGCGATTATTTGTAAAATATACATCCCTAAGCGGCGTCGGTGGTGTAGTGGTAAGCGTGATTACCTCTCACCACAGCAGGCCTGGGTTCAATCCCAGTCGGCGCCGCCGGGATGTTCTGAGGCATAACATCTCTGATCACGCCTTCCTTCGGAAGGGAAGTAACGCCGTTGGTCCCCGGTTCATGAGTTGATGGATCGATAGGTACACGGATAGAAATCTCCTTAATACCTTTTGGAAAATTTCCATTGCTGATTATTCATAAATTGTATAAGTCAACTAATAAGCAGACGCCTTGCAAAAAGTTAATAAAGATCATGTGTCAAATGAAATGTATAAGTGGTCACGCATACCTTTTATGCATTCTAATAGGACATATGTGGTTTGTCTTATGGAATGTATAAGGCTGATGCTTTGGCAAAAATGTATAAGTGAAACACATGAATTAAATAATTGATTTTCGTTTCGTGTAGGCTCCAGGTGTAGGAGCTGCCTCCCTGGCGTCGGTAGCATTGGTGCTCAGCACGGAAAACAAGATCGACGAAAAACAAATCGAAGGAAAAAAAAATAAAATATACATCCCGGCAACCCAGTATATCTGACACTTTGAATGTTTTTGTTTGACGGACAAATCGGATTGATGATGACGTGGGAAGTAGCGGGTGTGAGAAATTTTGTGTGTTTTGTATTCATAGGATAATAAAAGGCCTGTGTTTTAGGGTTTTATAATGTCCTCAAGGGCAGACCAGAAACCCAGCCTGTTACCGTAATTTAAAACCAAAAGCATAAGATAACCACATAGTTGCATCTCGTTTGCATAGCCCTAACTGACGTTGATACCAAGGTCAAGAATATGAAATGAAAAGTAGGGCAAAAGGAGCGAGAGCTCGTTTTACATAATCTAACTGCAGTATTTACTTAGGAACGTTTCTGCGTTCAAGTGGGATAAACACGCCCACGCATGGCATGCTTGCGCATCTAGGTTAAGTTTAGCTTTCCCTCTCTGTTTATCCTTAACGAAGGATATAATTATAATGTTTAAACGTTACAAATGTCATTCTTATTTGTAGAGCCATATCAGATCTGAGTTACAAAAATAAATAAACTTACAAGATATCTGAGAAATCCCAGATCTGAGAGGGCATAGTATATAAGGTCTAAACAACACAAATTTACCCTTTCAAGGGCGATCGGAATCCTAGCTAATTAGAATAGGCAAATTAGGTTAAAATTCGGTATTGAAAGGGATATGTTAAACTCTGGACAAATCATGTAAAAGTTTTACATAATTATAAGTTGCTAATGCAACACGTAGCCGTAAGATCACTTTGTACAATTTTGTTGAATAAAATTACGTTTCGTAGGTTACTCAAGATTCTTCTCTTTTTGAATCCGAAAGAACTTTCGGCCTAGAAGTGAAAACTTCTCTCCTTAACCGGAGAAAAAAGTAGCTCCTAGAAGAACTCTTGACTTGGAAGTGAAAACTTCTCTCCTTAACCGGAGAAAAAAGTAGCTCCTAGAATCGAGACCTAGTAAGTGAAAGACTCTCCCTAACCGGAGAGAGAGATGAACTAGCCTATGGCTAAAAATCTCTATAATAAAGTATAAAAAAAAAACCCTAACCGGAGAAGAAAGTAGCTTTTGGCGGCGACACAGCCTTTCGTGATTTGAAAAACAACGGTCTATCAGCGGCCGGCAAGAGTTGGAACTCATGGGGAACATTCTTGGAGACCGACTTTAGAGGATGATGAATAGACTTGTGCGAGTTGCAGCATTTTTTGAATTAAGGGTACTAATTGAAAGATTAACCTCGAGATTAACTGCCTCATTCTCTTGAGCCCACTCTAGAACCTACATTTCGTATTTAGATCTATAAGTGAACTGCTGGGTTGAGTTCCACAGTTAGTCGAACAGCACGTAATGCGGTGAACAATTTCAATGACAGTTGTCCGCAAGTGCTCCCATTTTATTTACAATAATTCTATGCCTACGAGATTGTGCCGATGGATTTGCCCAAGCTGTGCCGAATCTAATTTCAGTACAATGTGCTGAGTGACTTACCCCTTGCATATATATTTTTGTTGCAAACACGTTCTTAATTTATTTTGAATCATTCATATGTTTATAGAATGAACATTTATACTTTTGATTTAAATGAACAAAATTAGCGGTGCCGGTGGTGTAGTGGTAAGCGTGATTACCTCTCACCCCAGCAGGCCTGGGTTCAATCCCAGCCGGCGCCACCGGCATGTTCTGAGGCATAACGTCTCTGATCACGCCTTCCTTCGAAAGGGAAGTAAAGCCGTTGGTCCCCGGTTAATGAGTTGATAGGTCGATATGTTAGGTCCAGGTGTGGGAGCTGCCTCTCTGGCGTCGGTAGCATTGGTGCTCAGCACGGAAAACAAGATCGACGGAAAACAAATCAAGGTAAATGAACAAAGTTCGGTTCCGTGATGCATCAATAAATCAGTAATGCCTTTGTAGTACGTCAATCGAGACTTCCATACACGCCAATATGCTTTGAACTGTCAAAGAATTTTCCTGCGAGCTTTTAAAGTAAATGGATCACCTGCATAGTTGATATTGAGAGGACTAAGCAGCCAAATGGGAGGACTAAGGGGCTGTTCATAAACTACGTATACTCTCTAGGGGGAGGATCGACAAATATCTACGGTCCATACAAATTTCCATGGACGATTGTCTACGCGGGGGAGGGACGGGGGTTCAAAACCTCTTAAAATCGGTATACGTAGATTATGAACAGCCCCTAAGTAGCTTGCTCGGGTGGATGAGTCTCTCATCTTCGGGTAATTCTAGCAGCCAACCAGTGCCACAACACCGTCGAGCCGTAGCACTTTGTCGTCTAGCAACCCTAATAAATTTGTTATGGTTATTTGTGGGGAGGGGCTGCTTAATGACGTGTTTAGGGTATCATCCAAAACATTTGTGGAAAAGTTCGACTATTAGGGTTATTGTTCGTTTATGGTATTTGTTAATAAGAGAATGCAGGCAGTGGCAGTGGTGGTGCTGCGTTGACAACTCCAACAGCCACCTCCAATTCACCTTCGACTCCTCGAACTCCGTGAAAACAGACTTCCGATTCATCCAAATCCAAAGGAACCGCAGCGGCTACACCTGTGACTGCTTCAACCACAGGAGAAAGCACCAATAGAGGAAACGGAGGCAGCAGCACCAGTGGCGGCAGCAGTCCTCCTTTCGGGTTTGAAGAAATATCTGACAGGAATGAACTCAACTACTGTGGGTGCCGGACGTAACTGCGGAGATTGACGTAACTTCCAACAGCTGTTTCGTGTAGAAAGATACACATTGCAATGAAATACGAACACCACTGAACATTTGCGCATTTCACCAACCGTTGCCGTGGACCTTATATAAAGGACATTGTTCGTGGCTCGCTTCGTAGTGCCTTTAGTTCGTAAATGTCATGTAAACAAACATGGCACAAATAGTGAAAAGAACGTAAAAATGCGAGTAAATATTGTTCAGTACACGTTTAGTGCATATTCTACAAATAAATAATGACGATTACACAGCAAAAAAAAATGTAATATCGATCAACGTAATTCAAGCTGATGTACGAAAAAATGATATAATAGCAAAAAGCAGATACAATATTACATCAATGGCTGTAATTGTGTTCGCAAAATCGATGTACATCGTACAATGTGATATTACACAACCGATGGATTGACCTGGTTGCAGCAGTTTCGATGTAATATTCAGCAACTTTTTTTTCTGTGTACGTAAAATACTAATTATTACACAAAATGGCATTAATGCATTTCAATTCATCAATATGCATCAATTTAGAGTCGGTGTATAATGAGTCACGCCAAGAGAAAAACAGTTGAACTCGCATCACGGTTTTCGAAAGATTCCATTTCTTTTCACTTGGCAACAGAGGACTACTACATCAACTTCAAATGACTTCCAGCGAGCAAAAAAAAAATAGCGGCTGTTGTAAATCATTATATCAGTGATTTTGCCCAATCATCTCAACAAAAAATAGTAGAAATTCTCATTAATGATCGCTACCAAACGTATCCCATGACAATTTAATGATCACTGCGTGTTTATGATCATTTCTTCGATTATATTTTATATTTTATTGCAATACCTTTCGTGGACCTTTCATAGCATCGTAATGTTTGTTTACTTTGCACGATAGGTAGCCGGTTTGACAGTTCAATAGGTAGACTTGGCTTCACTCTTGGCGTGACTCATTATACACCGACTCTACATCAATTAACCACTTCATTCGAGCTGTTGAAATGACGTTTACTACCACTCAAACTTTCTTTGAAATAGAACATTATTTTGAGATTTTTTCTTCTAGAACCTCGAGAAAAGTAACCATAATTTGTGCGTTTCATAAAAAAATAGAAATTAGTTGGTCGAGTTTTGTGAAATCGCTGGTAGAAAGTTACGCCAAAACTGCTTGACAAAGTGGTCAATACGTATCCTCAATACGTATCCTCGGTGGCACACTGATCGGCACATCAAGGCACACGATGACAAGTATGACACAAAATATATTAGAAAACAGTATCACTGTTTTGTATTGACATTTTGCCAAGCGTTGCTAATTTTGATTACTTTGTTTACGTATAATTATGCCTTTTGGGGAATGCACTTTTATAGAAAGTGCACACGGCTTTTGAGAGGTGTCCGTAGTTTCGGAAGAATTTTTGTATTGCGGGAAGTTCAAATGAAATAGTCAAAATCTCCACATCACGCGATATTCTGACGTCAATTGCTATTTTTTCTCTGAATTGACAATATTAAATAAAAACGTAGTGTACATTGTCAAAATTGCAATATTTGTGCTGGCGATTCGTTAAAACCTTGCCTATTTGACAGTTGCGGTGGAATTTCTGCTTTTTGAAACTGATCAGTTAAACGGAAATAATTCTCTAAGCACATCTATAAGGAAAATAACCATTCAAATTTTATCAAAGTGAACAAACGGAACAAACTAGAAAAGAAAATGTAACTACACGAAAAGGAACAGCACTTTTCGTTCAGTGCACAAGCATAAAAGCTCTGTTTTGACAGCTATGCTGTCGACCAAAAGTTATGCTCCATCTGTCAAACACATCTCTCTGCTGCGCCATAAAACGTAAACAAACGATTTCGCTGTACAGTGTTCATGTGTGCATTAGTTTATTTTTGCATTTTCTGCTAGTAAAATTGTATTTCACTGCGAATATTGGGAGTGAATCACGAAAATGTTAAGTCTCCGAGCATACGCCAGTGGAAGTAGCAGCAACAGCAGCAGCGATGACGATTCAGACCAGGAAGATCAACTGCAACCGGTGGCTTCGAGTAGCAAAGCATCCAGTGCAGCCAAGGAAGAGGAACTTGCACATCTCAAACCGATCACGGACAGTTCAATGTCGGTGGCAAAATCCCTGCAAGTCTGTGCTGCACCGGTGGTCGTTCCAACGGTATGTATATTATGTCTTGGCATGGTTGACGGTCTCTTTATTCATTTTTTTTTTGTTTACTCAGGATCAAACGGAAGTATCCCGAATGATAGCCCCTAGTGTGACGGAACTCAACTACAATCCACGTTATGAAGAACTGTTTGCTCCGGTAGCTGGTCCGGTCAATCCATTCTTAACGGAACAAATGAGAGCCCAAAAGAATACGTTGACTGGTTTCGTTGAGAAAGCCCACATAAGCGATTTCCAGTTTGACAATCAACGCAAAACCTTCCACAGTTACGGGTATGCACTGGATCCTTCGGTTGATACGAACATCACAGCTGATGGAGATGAGGGGCCTAGTTACGTAGGACACTTGCAAGCTGCGTACGATACAGATGGCAAAACCGTGTTCGAGTCGTGCAAACCGAATCGAACGGGGGACAGAAGAAAACGAGTCAAGAACACTGATCCGGCTGACGTGGAAGGTTTCCTAGGACCGTGGGGAAAGTTTGAAGATGAGGAAACTATTGCACGTCCCAGCGACCAGGAACGTGTTGAGATCGAAGAGATGATGGCCAAAAAGCAGCGCAGAAACCGTGTCACCGAGGATAAGCCGATTGAAGAGAAATCGGTTCTGCACATCAAGGACTCTGTCGATTATCAGGGTAGATCATTCCTGCATCCACCGCATGATTCTGGAGTTAATTTGCGGAAGAGTAGCGCTCCAGATCGGTGCTTCCTCCCGAAGGCTCACATTCACACGTGGACCGGACACACGAAGGGAATCTCTGCCGTCCGATGGTTTCCTGTATCTGCACATTTGTTGCTTTCCTGTAGCATGGATGCGCGTATCAAAATCTGGGAAGTCTACAACGAGAGAAGATGCGTTCGGACTTACTCAGGTCATCGGCAGGCAGTTCGGGACGTTAGCTTCAACAATCGGGGTGATAGGTTTGTTTCGGCCGGATACGATCGCTATCTGAAACTGTGGGACACGGAAACGGGCGATGTCATATCGAGATTCAGCTCCCGGAAAATTCCGTTCTGTGTCAAGTTTCATCCGGATTTCAATAAGCAGCATTTGTTCGTAGCTGGAACGTCGGATAAGAAAATTATTTGCGTTAGTATGCTTAGGATTTATGGTGTTCAATTTTCTCTGTTCAACTGTGTACTTCATTTTTCAGTGGGACACCCGCAGCGGTGAAATTGTTCAGGAATATGACAGGCATTTGGGTGCTGTAAATACCATCACTTTCGTGGACGAGAATCGCCGCTTCGTCACCACATCGGACGACAAGAGTTTACGAGTTTGGGAATGGGACATTCCGGTGGATATGAAGTACATTGCCGATCCCACGATGCATTCGATGCCGGCAGTTACGCTTTCGCCGAACGGAAAGTGGTTGGCGTGTCAAAGTTTGGATAACAAGATTGTCATCTTTTCGGCAATCAATCGATTCAAAATGAATCGTAAAAAGACCTTTACCGGTCACATGGTGTCCGGTTATGCGTGCAACTTGGACTTTTCGCCCGATATGAGGTAAGTCGCTTGGGGCGTTTGATTGTAGAATCGATACTAATGTGGTTCCCATTTTCCAGTTACCTAGTGTCGGGAGATGGCGACGGGAAGTGCTACATTTGGGACTGGAAGACGACCAAGTTATATAAGAAATGGCAAGCACACGATAACGTTTGTATTGCAGCGCTTTGGCATCCGCACGAAGCCAGCAAGCTTGTGACGGCTGGTTGGGATGGAGTAATTAAATATTGGGATTAGAATGTGGACGACAATGTGTGAGTATGGTAATCTTTATGCTCCAATACAAAAACAAATGTATGAATTTCAAAATATTATTTTTTTGGTCACTAGTGATGACTGCATTGTGGTTAATATTTATTGCAACTGGTGGTTTTGCGGTTCTAGGAATGCAACATTTTTATTTCCCATTTCAGTCAATGTTATCTGAAGAATTGATAGACTTGACCTTCTCTGATTTGCAAGACGCTTTGCATAATTGTTTGTTATGGGAAATCATTCACATTGTGCTGAAATGGGCATTTTTCATCGAAAATATGTCTGAGACTGTATTGCAATCGGTCACCAGGCGAGGAACTGCAAAGGCCCTGACAGATCTGGCCTGTCAACGAAATGCGTGGCGAACGGTCACATTGCAAGAGACTGCACGAAGTGACCAAGGTGCATGCTGTGTAAAAAAGAGGACGGAAACGACCAAATGCCCAGCATTCAATTAGGCGACGGCAGACCAGCAGTAATGGAGGTAACCCATTGCTACCTTACCAATCATTGCGACATTGCATAGCAACTGTTGTGGCAGTCGAGAGCGGAAACAAAGTGCAACGTTGCAATCATTGCGGAACTGTATCGAGATTTTTCCGATAACGGCAACTGGGTGGCGGATAGAGCTGGGATGGCGGCAATACAAGTCATGGGCAGATACCCCATTCAATAAGTGCTTGTGAGCTCATAAGAAGTACGCTACGTTGTTACGCACCCCCTAGATGGAGCAGTTTCATTAGATGTTGAGTGGGCATACCAAAGAGCTGATCGGACGAAGACCAGTAGTCATCGGAGGAGACTTCAATACTTGGACAGTAGAGTGGGGAAGCAGATGTACCAACGGAAGCTCTGGCAAAGCTGGAAATTAGGCTGTTCATCATTAGCAATTTAATTGGCCAACATGAGTTGATGGAAATTTGGTGGAACGTGCTAGTTGTCTCAGAGCCAGAAGACGCGTTCAGAGAGCAAGAACTGAAGCAGAAAGAGAGGAGTGTATGGTAGTGTTCCGGGCGGCCAGCGCCACACTAAAACGGGGGATAAAGTAGAGCAAATCAAACTGTTTTAAGGAGCTATTTCGTGACGCTAATGCCAACCTCTAGGGTGACGCATATCGAGTTGCGATGGCGAAGATCAGAGGTCCAACGACGTGCTTTGAAATGTGCACAGTCAAACTGAAGGTCAACGTTACGGGACTCTTCCCTGAGCACGACCTAACGATCTGGTCACCTACACCGTATGGCGAGGTAGAGGGTGACATCGCCGAAGGTAGACAAGCACAAACGAAGTGACAGAAGATTAACTGGCAAAGAAATCAATTAAAATAATGTGGTTTACTGCAATAGAATTTTCTAAGAAGCTTGTGCCACCAACCGCCAGATGCGCTAGCATTTATGCGGTTGATCAAAGTTGGTTTTGTCTGCGATGATCTTTGACAGTGTGCGAAGAGTATAGCATTTTGTCAATTTTTGACGTAGGACTACATGGGGATACACTTTGTGAACACCAAAAATGGAACAGGTAACAAAATTATGAAAGATTTTGAACATTAATAACTCAGTTGCCCCTGGACCAATTACAATAATTTTATCACCAATCGATCAGAAATATTTTTACGCATGAAAAGCAATGCTTTCGACTGATGATTTAAAACAAGAAATTTTTGAAAACGTGGTAATGTCAAGCATTGTCCAATGTACAAATGAAAAGTGATAATTGTATCACTGTTAAAAGATATAAAAGAGCGCTGCTGTCTAGCCTCAACTCAATTCTTTGCTCGATTGTTGAGCTGTTCAGTCCGTATTTTCGCTCGAGTTCTCGATTCGATTTTGTTTCGTTTTGTGCTGTCGCGTTGCGCCGTGGAAGTGTCGCCACCTTCTCGCGTTCTGGCAGTTGAACTTGCAAACACGAAATAAATGGTGCGTAAACGTGCCAATGAGACAGCAGCGAGCCCTTCAAAGAAGGTGCTAATCAAGCCCAGTGCATCGCAGGATGACGCCGGAAAACGAGTACTGCAAACCAACCAGTATGCAGTACTCCCGAAAAAAAAAAATGGTGATGGTGACACCGTTCCCATTGCAAGAAAAGAGCGAATTCTCCCGCTTTTCACGCCGGTGAAGGATGTTGCCAAGCTGGGTGCCGAACTGGCAAAACACAAGCTGCTGCCTCGCTTCAAGCTTTGCAGCATCGGTACCAAAATCATGTGCTCCAGCCTGGAGGAGTACAAACAAATAGGATGTTTCCTGAAGGACAACAACGTGGACTTCTTCACGCATCATCTGCCATCGAGCAAGCCAATGAAGGTCAACTGCGGTGGAAACCACCAAGCCTCCAATCGCGGATGTCCCAAGCGAGTGGAGTTTATGAATATCCGTCGGAAGGCTACAATCAACAATCAGCCTGGTCGCCTCGGTAATCATCGTTCGCCTCCTGTACTCACGGAAGTCCCAGTCCCCCGCTTTCCAGCCCCGTCGACATGTTCCGAACCTGTTCCCCGCTTCCGCTCACCAACCAACAAGCTAATCCTGCGAATATATAAATGGTTTCCAACAGTCGGACAGTTCAGCATCGTCTCGCTGCTGCTGCGCTCCAGCCAATTCCAGGTTCATCCACCGCCCCTGGTTTATCATACGCTGGTGCTGTCTCAGGTGAGCCTGTCGACGATTCTCCGTTCACCTCGGAGGAACTTGTGACGCTCGTGGCCGAGGTCATCATCATCATGCGCACCTGCAAGACTCGATCTGAACAGCTACACACTGCCCTGTCCCTTGTCACTAAGTATGGACCGTGAAGTCATCAAGATCGTAATTTGAAATGCTTGCTCCTTGAAAAACATCGAGTTTGTTGACTTTCTCAACGAACGGCACATCGACATAGCTGTCATCACCGTGACTCACTTGAAGCCCGAGCTGAACGTCTTCCTTCCCGACTATCGGTTCATAAGGCTTGACCGCACCAGCTCCGGGAGAGGGGGAGTGGCCATCGTTGCGAGACGAAACATCAGCTGCCGGCTACTACCAAGCTTCCAGCTGAAAACTATCGAAGCCATCGGAGTTGAGGTGAGCACATCGCCCACTACAACATCCTTTGTTCGGACACTCCCACCCGGTTGAGTCGATCCGGAGCTCATGCCACCATCGACATCTTCATCAGCAACATTGGCGATAACATCTCTCAACCTATCCCCAATCAGGAACTGAGCTCAGACCACTACCCGGTGGTGGCCGAAGTAGGTTCCTCGGTCAATAGGTTTCAAGTTTCCCGGCGAAGTTACCATCATGTCAACTGGCAACAGTACCAGCGCTGTGTGGACACAGTAATCGACTACGACGTCCTACCAAAGTCGTTCGAAGAAGTCGATCGGTGTCTGCAAACCATCGAATAGGCGATATCCCGTGCCAGGGAGCAACACGTACCAGCATCCAGACAGGTGAGTCATACTCTGAACCTTGACAGCCAAAGATCTTATCAGCCCCATTTGAAGACCAATGTCAATATGCTAACCAAAATTATCCGTACTGGAGGCAATGTCCAGAGTCGCTGACACCCCCGTAGTAGTGCATGATGATAGTAGAATACTGGCTGATGAGGTGATAGCAGCTGTTAGAAGCACTAAAAACATGAAGGCCATCGGTATGGATGGTGTAGTTAACCTCGAGTTGAAACACTTGAGTATTGACTTCTTCAACCATCTTACCGTTATCTTCAACAAATGTTTGAAGCTGGGCTACTTCCCTGCATGCTGGAAGTTAGCCTAAGTGATTCCAATACGCAAGCCTGGTAAAGATCCAGTCCGCATCGTGCTCCCTTGCCGTGCGGATCTATTTGCTTTTTGCTTAAGGAAGTGTTACTACTACCTAAAGCTGCAACAAATTTAAACAGCACTTTTCAGTGCTCAACCTGTAAAAATTTTTCTACCTTGTTCAACTTCTCTTATTCCTCTTCGATCCTTGTTTGGACCCTACCCGAGGTAATCCTTCTTGGATATCGATTTGGAAAATTCCTCTTCGATCCTTCAGATTCTTATAGTAATCTGCTTGGAAGTCGATTTGGATAAAAATTTACTGCCGCCATGGCGCCTAAACGCAAAAGAAAGGGGTAAACTCTTGACCCCCCTTCTGATGAAATTAATTTGAGTAATCAATTTGATTTGCTCACGGATGATGAGAATGATCCATCATCCAAGAAAAATTCTAGTAAACTTTCCCGGCTTAATGCCAAGAAGGAAAAGATTCCCCCTATTGTGATAACCACTACCGATTTCCATGCTCTTCGCATGGAACTTTTGAATTTCGTGAAAGTTAAGTTTTCACTACAAATTGGACGTCGGGGTGAATGCCGTGTATTGGCTGAAACCTTGGACGGATTTAAATGTCTTCTCAAGTATCTTACTGAGAAGAAGCACAAATTTTTTACTTACGACACCAAAACTGAACATGTGTTCAAGGTTGTCATGAAAGGACTGCCCAGTGGTGAATCCCTGGATCAGATCAAAGATGAACTGGCAAAATTACTTGGAGTTGTGCCACTCCAAGTAATCAAAATGAAAATGAAATCCCGTCCTGGCGATTCGCGCAACGGGATTTCTAATGATTTTTATTTAGTTCACTTCAAGTCTAGTGAACTAAACAACCTTAAGGCCTTAGAAAAAGCTAGCCTTATGCTCCATGTCCGAGTGAAGTGGGAACACTTCAGGAAGACTGGAGGAAATTTCCAAAACCTCACTCAGTGCCGTAAGTGCCAGGGATGGGGTCACGGAACTAAAAATTGCTACATGCCAGCTAAATGCATGAATTGTGGTGATTCCTCTCACGCAAAGGACGACTGTCCTGTGAAGGAAGATCCTAAGAAATTTAAATGTTCAAATTGTGGTGAAAACCACAAATCCAATTTTTGGGAATGTAAGACTCGCAAAGCGATCCTACAATCTCGTTCTAACCGACAGGTAGGAAACGCTCCACGTTTCCGACCAGGTACAAATTCCTCTGCTGTTAACAACGGTCAGCGAGGAACAAATTCTACATTCGTAC